TAAGCTTGCCTAATCAAAGCTTTCTCTTCCTTAAAGTCATCCTCATGAAGTCCATGTAATCTTTGATACTTCACCTCTTCAAATAGACTTCTTCTCAATAATCCCATATGTATTGTATCTGTTGCATCCACTATGTTATTGTTGTTGTGCTTGATAAGTTCCCTTCATATGTTGGTTTGAATTTAATTCTTCACTATTGTTTATAATCTGCAAATGCACATGCTTCCACAAAATACCAACATGAAGGCACCATTTTATGTCGCATTAGTGAGAATTGCAGAATGGTAGTATATATTATTATAGTACACACTTTCTTTCTTTTGTAATCAACCAATATGCAATCAAAGTGCAAGTAAATATATTTAGGATTTTGTGTTGTGTCTATTATTTACCATAATCCATGGTTTGATAGGCCAGATTAAACACATTCTTTCAACCTTTTCCAATGCCCAAAAAGGCTAAATCTGTTTACCATTCTTTCTTGGATGTTTTTAAATCAATTAAATGGTAGTTATAAGATTCACATATCTAAACTTTAGAATCCAAACCATGTGCATGATTGGATGGTAAGCCAACACTTGTAAATTGAATGTGATGGTGATGTAAGAACCATGATCCTCAACTGTCCTTCAAGTCAATTCATTCACATGATTACCACTATTATTATAAACATATTGTCAATTAAATATCAATCTCACAGTTTGTGGCACACATGTCAGTAAAACATTACACACGTGGAGACCAAACAGCACAAGACACGTGTAAAATCCTTATTACTACAAACCATCTTCAAAGTTCATCACAGGCATTTAGGGGCAAATCCCTTGGTCAGATAGGCTTCAACGAAAGGAAACAAACAAAAAAACATTGTGTTCAAACGGAGCCTCTAGAAGAGAACGTGAAAAGCATGCTAAACTTCGAGCATGGATGTGCCACAGTTATTCATTATGAAGGATGATATTCATCAAACACGGTGGCCATATTAATCTGTCCGGTAACACACGAGCAATGGATCGTAAAGACTTTCTCCGAGCCACCGACCGATTTCAGTTTTGCAGCATCGTCATCAGCTATGGCGGTATTGATCTCCGTCTCCTCTACAATCGTGCCCTCGTTGGTCAAATGCTCACCTGCTGGCCGGTATTCCGTCGCCAGCTTCAATTTCAGTGACACTTTGTTTTCTCGAGATGAGATTCTTGAAAACCGGCTCAAAACGTGGATTTGCTTCACACAAACTCAAATCAACCGCTCCTACTCAGCGCCTCGCTACATGCACGACGTGAACTCTTTCAATCCGCACCATAAACCGTTTCAAAAATAAGATTATTCTTTTTTTTGTAAATAATTTTTTCAAGTTGGTTAGTTTAAACTTTAAGCGGTGAGTGATCTGATTTCAACGCCATTTTCAGTCACGACCGTAGCGATTCTTCCAATTTGGGATGAATGGGATTGAAAATGTTTCTTGCTCGAGGAGTAATCTTCTTTACTGTAGCAGCTAGAGGTGTTTCTAGATCTTCTAATTGCGTCATTATTTGTTTCAGTTACCGTAACTAGAATTTGTTCTATCATTCTATTAGTGTTACATGGTTTTATGTATAGTCCGGTGATAGATCACGAGTGACGGAAGCAATCCTAAACTGCAGCTGGAATAACCTGTGTAGCGGAGATGACGATCCTACATAGAATTCTGATGATTTTTAGCTGTAGTTCCACATTGGCTGTGAATTTGTGCAGCTGTCTGAGGGTGATCGTTTGCCTCCACTCATTTTGAGAGACCAAGATGGTTGAGAGGTTAAGTTGTCTAAGTTTGCAGTCCTACCTCTAATTCTGAACTTCTATCTAGCCAATGAGAGTCCTAGCTGAGTGAAGCATGCAATTTGTGTACAACTCGGTTCTGCAGCCACAATTCATTTATAATTGACAGAATTGGTATGAAGCAGTAGAACACGGTATTATTTTTCAAAAACAATATTTGCAAAGTTTACCAGTATGGCTCATTTTTAGAACAGTTGTGTATTATAAGTATCTGTAAGAGAAACAATTATCCATCTTGAGTATGTGTATCCTTGTTTTACCCACATATAAGACATCTGGAGTTTTATTTGAATAATTCAATAGGTTAAATATTGTACGGTCACATTGTCAATGCCTACAGATTTGTTCTTTCTGAGAGGTCTAGGATGAATACCAGAAACTTGGCGCTACTGTTGTCGGAGTTTGTGGAGACTCCCTGAATCTCACGAGGTATACTTCATGACTTTAAGAAACATGTCATTATCATGCATGGATGTTACAGTTAATCGTTGCGGTATTTATGTCGCAATCGCATTTTCTCCTTTGATTTCACCGACGCTTTCAAGATTCACTTATATCATGTGTCATTGTGAAGTGATCCTAAAACAGGTTTTTAAGGCGAAGTACAACTTGCATGAAACGCTTCTTAGCGATGGAGGCATCAAAGTGCGGAAGGAATTTGGTGTGCCATCCGACTTCTTCAATACGCTTGCCTGGCGGCAGGAATATGTTGTGAACAGGCGGAGTCCCAGCTGATTCCACCCCCTGATAAGCACGTACCTGAGATACTCAAAGTTTTGCAAGCGTAAATTCCGTCTTGAGTAAACAACGAGCTTTGTATATTATGTAAAGGTTTAGTATGTCATATAATTCTGTCATTCAAATGCAGATTCTTGAACATTTCACATGGCAATACTCTTGTAAAGCTCAACATGAAGTCTATTTGTGTTCCTTTCCAATAGAACTTTGTCTTACTCTGTACCGTGAAGCAAAACATAATGTTGTACCGAGGCGACCACCGCTATGGAGCTCCGCTTGTTGAGCTTACTTTCCATGAGCCTCAAGGAAGCGTGACCGACGCATCGGAGGGGATTAAGCACTGGAAGTTGCGGACGCTAATTTAGCAACGTGATTAGGGCTAAGTCCTATTTCTTTGCATGATACAAACAAGTGATTTTGTTTAAAAGAGCAACCAGAGGTGTTAATGCCAGCCCTGTTAGGAATAAATCCATGTTCTAAAATAGACATACATCGACCAATCAACACCTGTGAGCACAAGCTTGGCCATGATTTGAGCTGCAACAGTAGCCACTATATGTGTGTGTGGCTGTCAACAATCTATTTGCAATGTTGGAAGGTATGCTCAGAATAACATCATAAATGATGAAAGGACTTGAAAGAAAATCTTGCTGACCACATCAATGTTGTTAGAATTTCGCTGTGGTACTGTGATAGATTTATTGAATTTGAAATATGAGCCTATGAATTCAGGTACAGTGCATCTTTCTACGTACTCCAAAAACTTGAAAATGACACTCTGTTCATATATATGTATATATATACATATATATATATATATAAATACGTATTCTAATTTATTTTTATTTTATCACGTTGATCAGTTAGAATTTTAAATTTTTGGCCGTGAGGCATACCACCAAAAGAGGGAAGTATTATCTGGAATTCCTATGGAATTTTTGAAGGTGATAAGTTAATTAAAATTCACAAAAACTATTTTGGTATTATTTAGCAAAAGCTTTTGGTACCACACACTTATTAGTAACATGCAAAATTCATAAATAATGAATTTTTTTCAGACTGTTTTGGTGAAATTTCCATAGAATTGAGTAATATGTGATAACATCATGTCAGTTTTGTTTTGACATTCACAAAATACTATTTAAGCAAAAATAAATATATTGATGATTAGATAATAGATTTTTTTGTTAAATAACATATAAGGTATATTTAAAATTTAGTACCATTCGAAATAAAAAAAATTGAAATACTTATGTGTGTATATATATATATATATATATATATGCCCTTCATTCTGTGAATGATCGTTTTCCATATTTTTATTATTTTCATATCCCAGCTTTTTATCTCAAAGAATACTATGGAGAATAACTTCAAATTTCATTCTATAAGATTTAGATTTTAATTATTTTGGTTTCTTTATCTATGTATTTATTATTATTGTTAATATTAATAAGTTGCATTATCTTTTCCTTCTACTTTTTTGTTCTTGCTGTAAAGCTTCGTCCAAAACAAAACCCTAATTACATATAAAAGAGAGTGAATCCAGATGCCAAGCTCAACTTGATGGGGGGGGGGGAGAGCATGCAGATAGCAAGCCCAGCAACAAAGAGACTGGGGCACGTTGGCAAAATCCAGCCAGGTTTTCTGGGCAGCAGTACAATAGTTCATCAACTTTTTGGATTTAAGTGTCAGAGCTATGGGAAGTGTACTACAGCATGAGGGGAGAGAGCTCACTAAGCTGTTCATTTATTTATTTATTTACTGGTATTCATCCAGCCTGTGCCCAATCTAAGCGTGAACCCAACCCAAAGGAGACGAAGAGAAAGACTGTGGCAAAGTCAACTTATTCCGGGGCTGGTGCCCGGGAGATGGAGTCATCGGGCAGCCAATGCTGAGATCTGACATAACCTCACAAGGGAAAAAAGCCTCAATGGCAACTTGCATGGGGGCAGATTTGCCATTCCAAACAATACATCATCCATCCATCCTATCAGGGAGATGGAGCTGAGAGGCTACAAGGGGACCTGGAGTAAAGAGCAAATAAAGGGGAGAAAGAGAGAGGGGGAAATAGTATTATATATAGCCAGCGTTCAAAGATGGGCGAGGGCTGCAAAAGCATTTCATGTATGCATGTAGTTGGCTGGGGCTGCAAATGCAAATGGCAGCAGACAGGGAGCCAGCCAGCAGGAGGAGAATCAGGAGGAGGAGGATGAGCAAAACCAGAACCTGAACCAGCACCAGAATGATCGAATGTTACCCTTTAGATTGCAAATGCAGGGGGAGTGGCGTGGCATGGCCGCCCTCGGATGGCGCATCACGTACCCGGAGCCGTCAGATGGAAGGGCCCGACTGCTAGGCTGGTCTCAAACTTGCACGGCGACGGCGACGGACGGCGCGGATGCAGCTTGTGCAGGATCGGAAGGTGGCTCTGACACCCGCAGGCACCGTTCGTTCGTTCGTTAGGGGGAGCGGGAAGCGGGGCCAGCCCAAAAACGGAAGACCAGCGTCGAGGCACTTCCAGGGAGCGAGCGAAGCAGCGACGACGCCCCGACGAGGAACCAGCGAGCGAGCGAGCGAGCGAGCCAGAAGGAGGAATGGTAGAAGAATGAACGTGGACCAGAGAGAGAGAGAGAGAGCGAGAGAGCGAGGGAGCGAGGGAGTAAGGAAAAAGAGAGAGAGACGAGCATGGGGGGCGCCATGGACGACGAAGTTGAATAGTTGGGGTTTGTGGTGCAAGAAACTGGAATACTGGATTGGCATCGTCTGTCGCAGCAACCACCCATGAGGCACACGCATAACGGCAAATTGGTGATGCATGGTGAGCGGGTCGCCCCGTCTCAGTTGGGGCCTGATTTCGTAGGTTTAATTTCGCACGTCGCATGTGAGGGGTGCGCAAAGAGATCATGTGAGTCAGGCGCGGGTTAAATGTGGGGTGTGAATGGGGTGAGAGGGGACAGGACGGACAGATGGGTCGTCGTCGTCGTGGGCCATTTGAAAAATGGTCTATGATTTGGTGATGGGAGTTGAATCGGGGAGTTGAGCGATGGCCGGGGGTTATCTTTCTTGCGCTTGTTGGTGATTGGGGGTTGATAGCGGATGGGTAGCACTGGTGCTGTGGCTATGGCGGGGGTGACGGCACGGGAGTGAAGTAGTCGACTTCGTCGTGATGGCGGGGGCGTTGTTTTTATTTTATTATATTGTTTGCGACCAAGTGTGAGGGATGGAACCGCCCGGCGAAGGGTTGAGTGATGCTTAGGTACGGTGTCGTAAAATGACGTCGAGGTTGCATGTTGATTGATCATTAAGAAATCAGTTACTATTAGCTGGTTGGGTGGCTGGCTCGTGATTAGACGCGGGCTTTTTTTTTAATTTTCCCCCTATTATTCGAATAAAAATTAAATAAATTTAAGATTACGTGCGATGTGGGCAAGAAAAATTTACCTTAGGTCGAGATTGCACGTAAAGTCTCGTGTGTTATTGTTGTTTCTCGAGTATTTGCGTCGATTATGGATTAGTCAGCTACGGGGAGTTTGAATATAGGCCCATGCTGGCGACAGCGTACAGAAATGGCGTGTAGTCAGTTACGCCTGGGAAAGGGGGAATATTGGGGATGATATTTGGCGTAACGCATGTTGTGTCTTTCATCTAGAAATCATGGTGACGATTAGCGAATTCTGGTAGCGCGACGTTGCCATACGCGGTGTGTGGCTCAGTGCATTTTCCGTTTAGTGCATGGGATAGGCTGCAGATAATTTTCTTTCTTGGTATGGTCGATTTAAAAACAACTGTTGCTTCTAGGGACGATGACACCTGCATTATGAAGTAATGTGCGTTGGATCTATCCTCGTGGATACGGTGACGTCGATAGTTGCTTTAGAATGCTTTCTTGTTTCTAGATTTTAATTTTAATTTTAATTTTATTATTATTATTATTATTTTTGACGTGTCGATGCTCGCGATTTCGGTTCTCTCGATCATCTGCATGCTAGCTTCAATTGGGTGCTTGCATGTATCCTGCGTGGACTAATTGCATGTGGGTTGACATGCTGCCTGTGCAGTGAGACGGTTCAAATTCCGCTAAGGTTGACAGCGGCGGACAATTGTAAGATCCGTAAGATTTTAGTGATGTGAAAGTGATGATTTAGCTGCACCAGCGCACAGGAAGGTTGCCCGTAGTGGATGCGGTGAAGGTCTGTCTTAGGAGGAACAATGCCCTACAGTGGGAGAGTAGGCGTGACTTACAAGGAAGTGCGCATACCGAAAGCGCCGTTATTGGCATGCCTAACGTGTCCTCTGTGCAACTACTTGATTCGGGAAGCGACAACAATATCAGAGTGCCTCCACACGTTTTGTAAAGCTTGTATCACCGCCGAACTTAGTAATGGAGAGTCAGAGTGCTGCCCGATGTGTCATGTTGGCCTTGGAACTCTCCCGCTGGAAAAACTTAGGGCGGATCACCAATTAAATGATTTAAAGGAAAAGCTGTTCCCTAGCAATGTGAAGAAGCGGAAGCTAGGACTGGCGATAGGTAGTCCAGGAACATCGAATGCCACTAAACGGAAAGAAAGGTCTCTGTACTCTCTAGGGGTGAAGGGGACACTGGCCGTAAATCCAGGATATGCCAATCGCAAAACCAGGGCCTTACCAGGTACTCATGGTGGCAGCGAGCCAAGTAGCATTGACGAGGAGCTTGAGGATGACGACGACGATGAAGACGATCTCTCTGAAGATGAGCCAAGCACAACATTGAAATTATCCTACAATGGAGGATCTAGAAGGTCGCGGTCTCCAGATGAGGTTCCCGAGGCCAAAGTGTACCCTCATTCAGAACCCAGAAGACGGACGGAGGACCTGGCGTCAACACCGAAAGCGGATGCGGAGCATCTTCGAGGCGCGTCAAAATCCAAGTCGTTTTCAATGTCGAAGATGGGTCACCGACTCAAGACTCTTTCTAACGGCAATAAAACGTCAGGTTCATTATCTGGGTCGAAAGAGATTTTGAAAAATCCGCGGGGTTCCCGAAAGCACAATGGATCCTCGAATTCGGGGGGAGCAGGCAGGGAGACGGATGCAATAAATCCTATGGATGTCCTGGCTCAGGTTGCCAATGCGGATGCCGCTAGGGAAGACATAGGCTCTGGGCCATCCTCTCCTTCACCTGGCTTGCACACTACAGGCAACGGCAGCAAACCTGCCCGGGGTCAAAAGGATGTCAAAGAGGGAGTTTTGGCTAAAGTAGGCTCAAATCACAAAGACACTTCTGCGGCAAATTCAAACGGTCAGTCGTTGCAAGCACGTTTACGACAAACTCTGAACGGTGTCATTGAACGGCCCTCCATAATACGCAATACTCCACGTCCAGTTTCAGGATCTCCGGTCGCAGGTCAATCCTCAAGAGCTCCTTCAAACGGGATATGGTTCCATCTTGAATCTGGTGATTTACAGGCCAACGAGGACGCACTACCACCTCTGTCTTATCCTTATGTGCGTATTAAGGATGGGAAGTTGCCTGTCTCCATGGTGAAGAAATACCTCGTACAAAAATTCGCTCACAAGGTAAAAACTGAAATGGAAGTGGAGATCACCTGCCGGGGTCAGCCGGTAGTGTCAAGCCTACCTTTGGAGGGCATTCGAGATATTTGGTTTAGTGCTCAGGTTTCAGATCAAACGCAAACACAAACGCAAGCCTTGCCACCAACACAATCACAGGGGGAACCATCAACTGCTCCCGCAAATGGAAGTGGCCCCTCAGAACCTGCATCAGCAGCAGACTTTCTCATGGTTCTCACTTACAAAAGGCATCGGAAACCTAGAATTTGCTGAGAACCTCTACTAGATTTTAGTTTCAATTTATTTTAGTTTTTTTCTTTTTGGTTCTTGAAGGTGCAGGTAAGTGACAGTCCTTGGCATGTCTGTCTTGACAGATGATGCTCGCCTCTCATAGTGAATGACGAACTGCACATGGCCCTGGCATTAAGGGCGGTCTTAGTAAGTACCTATTTATGAGTTTTAGATAGCGTGTATTCGAGGCTGCAAGACTGTGAGTTTGTTGAGCTTCCGGTTCGGCGATTTTGTAGATTGATTTTTGTACTTCGCTTTAATCTCTGTCAGACATACACGAGTGGTGTGCCATTTTGTTTCTGTGCAGGGTTGTCTCTTTTTGCGGTAACCTTCTTTCGCTCCATGGTTTGCTTCTTGTTTGCAGCTCTAGGGAACTTTGTATGTGTGTACTTCCATGACTGTATCCCCAGCTGGTTCATATTGCTGATCGGTTTCACACTCTGCAAGCATCAGTGGTGTTGGACAAGCAAAACTGCCCGACCGACAGTGCCCTTAATTACTTATAACCTATGGTTTAGTTTGGTACAGCCATCTTAAATCGTAGTCTAAAATCTAAAGCCTTTGTTCTTGTGGGTGCTTCTCTTGCGAAACGTTGTAGTTGCTGGCAGTTAGGGTGGATGGAAGTTCTAATTTAATATATTGGTTACTCTGCTGCATGCAGTCAAGAGTCATGTGCCATACAGATTTGCACACTTTGTCTTACACCTAGAAAGTTGTTGGTTGGAAGATTGGCTAGACTGGCTGTGGAACAAATGCTGCAAACTGCTGTTGGTCACAGGCTCTGGTAAAGCCTGAATTTGAGAATGGCTTGTAATAGGGCTGAAATGCTTTACCACGAGCAAGACCGATACAGGGTTTTCTCCCGCTAAGGTCGATACAAAGGCGATAATAATAACCTCACATTAACCGGAGATTTAACTTTACACTAGTGCTTGAGTCTGAAAAGCTGGCACTAGTGCTTGACAGTCCTCCGCAGCAAGTTTTAGTTACCATCAACCCATGCAACCATGCACTGACCGACCACGTAAAGGTCGGTTCCCTTTTTTGTAAAGACATGTCCTAGCGGAATTTTCCTTCAGTGTTGCACACTTGGCGCAATAATGACTACGTTTCTTGTACGCTTGGAACCATCAGTCTAGCATTGTCACGTCTGTAGCTACCCGCGGCAGCAACCCACAAATTACACGGCAAAAAGAAAGATGTGGTGTGGTCTGATTTTATGTCCCCAATGATGTCCTGATCTTGGCGTGGACCTGTTCAAGGTAGAGGATTCTCGGGAAACACATAGATTTTAGGTCAATCTGCAACTTACCCTTCACAACCATATTGACGAAGTCCACTGTGTTCTACTTTTTGCTGGAAACTACAGGTTTGAAATTGTCTGGTAATCTAGAATCCAAGGTTGGTTAGTAATCATGGTAGTTTGTTCATATGTAAAGCTATTTCCTTACACAGAGGCATCTATTTCGAGTAATTTTTGAATTCTCGACATTTACAGAAAAAGCTGGTTGAGACTCATGATCGCGAGGTGCTTCAACTTTGGTAAAATCACACTATCGATTCCGTACATAGTTCTCAGAAGGTCCATTTCATCTCAAACTTTGAATCCAAACAGATGCATCTAAAATTCAGTCCGTCATGTGGACCTTAAAGACAACCACGAGTTTTTACAGATTGATAATGATGCCTACCCGCATGGGCCCCACTCATCCATCAGAAACCTCAGTACCAAACTGAAGCGAATGTTCAACAAAATTGGGTCCCACCGCGCTACAATTGACACGGATGCACACCAACTAACTCCTTCTTCGAAATCCATGTCCATTTGGCAACGTCCACGTTGCTCACCTCGAGGGCTAATATCGACTCGTCCATCGCCATGAGCGGGATTCTCCTCACATATCTGTACCTGCTCTCCTTGGCATTAGCTCCTCCTCCGAGGCGAATGCAGGAATCGTCTCTATCGATTGCATATTCTGCGTCTCATTCTTCGAGTCATTATCCTATCACGCCGAGCATCAGTAGCTCGATAGCTACCTTCGGAAGAAATTCCGAGAGCTGGGGGTTCATCAGAGGCCCTGCACGTCTTGTCTCTTGATCCGCGACGGGCAGTTTCCTGTGATTGCTCTCCTTTTTGGCCTAGTCTCTTCTGATCCGACGATCATTCACGTCTACGTCGTGCCCTTGTTTTCTGTGTATTTTGGGGTTTGGTGCCACTCGATTGACTGGGCAGGTGCAAGGCGTGGAGAGTTCGGGGTAGGTGTGTAAAACTTTGTGTGTTTAGTTCGTTAGTGGAGTGCAGATTGCTTGTTACGAGCCTGTTTAGCAAATGTTGTTGTTCCCTGGTTTTTTTTTTTTTTTTTTTTTTTTATTATTATAATTATAATTATCACTTATTTTCAAATTCTTACTTCATTTTTAAGAAACTTGGGTTTTGTGAGGGAGGTTGCATGAGTGGTTGGTGTCTTGTAGATAAGTTAGATGGGTTCATAGGAGATCGAGATTGTTGTGGTGTGGCGTGCTGTCTTAAAGAAGCAATCCTATTCTTTCTTTCTTTCTTTCTCCAAGTGACTGGAAGTCGGACGTATCTTAGAGTTCTTTGGTCTGTGACAGCGGGAGCCATGAATGTCGACGTTGAGGAGGGGGGTTGTGTTTAGTGTCGTTGTGGATTGAGTTGTAGGGGTTTTTGACATGCCTGATTGAAATATGGGCTAGGCATGGTTGATGCTGGTTTGAGGTCGACCTTGCTTGTGACGTGGAGGGAGAGATTCTATCTATGAAGGCTCGATGCAGGAGTTTTTGTTGTTTCTTTCCTCTTCGTTTCATTTTTCTTTGCTATGAAAGCAAGTTCTTGAATATTGGTGCGTTACACAACAACTTCTACCACTACTTAGATTCTTTCCGACTTCCTGAGTAGAATGAGGCTTCCTTGCTCATGAACGAATATCGATGAGGTATTCCTCCTTCTAGTTCACGATCCCTCTTTGACACAGCTGTGTGGTAAACTTTGAACCTCCCTAAAATGATAAGCCGCCTTGAGTTCTTATTCTTGTATCTCGGTAGGACTCAACTGTGGACAAGAATTTGGTTCTCTGCGGTGCATGCTGCAGGGTGAATTCTGTAGAGTCAATTCAATCGTTAGATGCGGGGAATGAGAGTTGCTAAATCCCTTGTTGAGATCATTGGGCGATGGAATTTTTGGATGCATGTCTGATTTTTTCCTGCACATGGGGTTCAAAATAATGATATTTCACGATTGAAAAGGCTAGAATCGGCGTGTTAATTGGACAGTTGATGTGGGCATTCAGGTACTCTGTCCAAGAATTACAATTTTTTCTGGCTCAACATTCTATGTAATTTAGATTTGCTGCGAGGGGCGAAGAGAATTGTCTTCTTATTTGTCACGCTTATAATGTACGGCTACAAACTCCTTTTTCGCGCCCGCCATCAGCCAAAGCTTTACTAATGAATTAAGGAGGCCTATGGATTTGAGAACCTTCCAGTGAAGATTGCCTGGAAGAGTTGCTATGATATTTAATTAGGGGACTTTATGAGCTATTGGAGGAACTTGTGCAGCAGGAAGGCATTTAGGATGTGAATCTACTGGTTGGCTCTTAGCAGTTGACTATCAAAAACCAGACTCATCAACCGCTTTTTTCCCTCGATTTTTGTGTTTACTTCTTATGAAGAACACAGCATAGGTATAGGAGATTCCCGTCACATTCGAGCACACAGGTCTTCAAGAACCAGCGCTTGGTTTTTGAAACTATTGCGCATTAGAAACCTTCACCTGAGTAGTTGTTCATCTGGGATAGGGCTCATAACAGGCATCGGAAATGTCGGAGTCAGGCAGCTTGGACCTGTTGTCCTCGTTTTGGATTAATTCTGTTCTCTCAGTAGCTTTTTTGATATGCTATGCACTATTTAAGAATCAACCGTTGAATTCTCGGGTATATTTTCCAAGATGGTACGTATTTGGCGAGGACGAACGGATTGACGAATTTGTGAATTGCGGAGAATCGAAGGGATCAAGGATTTCCCAGTACGTAAATTTGAACTGGAGGAGCTATCTGAATGGATTTAACTGGATATGGTTTTCCTTACGGAAGACAGAGGAGGAACTCATTGAACTTGTAGGGCTCGACTCCACTGTTTTCGTCCGAATATTTCTGTTTGGGTACGAATGACTTCCCCATGTGAACTTTTGCGGGGATTGAGTTTATTGACGAGAACCTTGCTGGTCAGGCCTGTTTTGTAAAGAATCTCTAATTTTCTCTACTCATCCGTATTCTTACGTCCATTGCATCATTACGTATTGCAGGTTAAAGGTTTTTGTCCCTATGTTGTTGTGGGGATGTGCGGTGTTAATTCCTGTGAACAAAACCGACGGTTACCTCAAAGTACTACAAGAACAACACCAAAATCTCACGTACGGTGCCCCTGAGAGTCTTTCCATTGCGAACGTTGAAGACTCGGCGAAGCGGTATGCTTGAACAATTCCGTTCTTTGAGGTCTTCTCTGTATGGTTCAGGAATTGTTATGATAATGTACCATGAGCTAACTGAGTGGGTATAAAGTAAATATCAATCTTTACAAGCAATATGTCATGGCATGGCATCCATGTCTTCAGTTTGTCTTTTCTGGAATCAGTTCCTCTCGCATGAGAGCTAACGTATACCGTATTTTTGCTCTCATATGTCTTTACGTTGGTTGATCGAGATTTTGAAATACCCAATACATTTATACTCTGATGCGCCGAGCACTAGAACTTGTAGCTTGATTTTAGGACTCATTAAGATTATTCGCATGCAGGTTATGGGCACATTTGGTAGCGTCATATCTTTTCACTGGTTGGACATGCCTCATGCTTTATATCGAGTATGCTACGGTAGAAAGGATGCGTTATGACTTCCTCGCTTCTAAGAAACAACGCCCAGACCAGTTCACGGTATGCTTGACTGCTTTTCAGTGATACTATATCGAATTCCAATTATAGTGAATATCGGGTTTCGGTAGTCACGAAAGGTCCCCATTGTTAATATTAATATCATGCAACATCAGTTTTCAATGGGTGGATTTTGGTAAACGTTGGAAAGTTGAGCGCGGACTTTGTTTACGTCCCCAAATCAGGTCTTGGTGAGACAGGTGCCCCGTGACGAAAACCAATCAGTGGGGATGCGCATCCAGGAATTTTTTCAACAAACTCACCTTGAGCACTACGTTACTCACCAGGTACAAACTCTCTGTAATGGTTTGTGTTCCTCGTGGGTGCTAAGTCCTTGGTTGTTAAGCGGAATGGAACTTGTGCATTATAAGGAACGACGGATGTGAATGCTTCTGGTTGAGTATTTAGCCCGACTTCAATGAATCAAAGAAGTCTGTCAATATAGACGAAAACAATTTTAGACTGATGCAATTGTTGATTCACGACACTTATTGTTCTAGCTCTCAAATTCAACGTGTTGCTTCTATTCTCATGTTATTTTATTTTGTTTTATTTTGTAAAATGCGCACTTGTTTTATTTTCACATCATGTTGTAATGCCTCAAGTTATTCTATATTATTTCTTCATGTGGAGTACCCTCGAGACTAGCAAGGGCAGCTACCTATCCCTTTTCGTCGAAGAGCAACGTCTCCTTGTCTGACGCCGAAACAAGTTTAGTCGTGCCATGGTGCTGATGGGGAAGGCATATTTACGTGTGCGCAGGTTGTGTATAAAGCTAAGGAACTGACAAAGCTTATAAAGGAGAAAGAGAAGTATGAAGGTAAGTTAGAGCGGTGGTATGACCAGTTATCAAGGGAGCCATCGACTCCGCGGCCTACTATTAAGCCGCGCAAGCATTGGTATCATATTTTTAGATGTTTTACAACAAAGAGAGAAGACGCCATTGATTATTACGAACGTGAAATTGAGCGGCTGGAAGATGAGGTATTTTCCCACCACCTTAGCTAATTTTCAAAGTGCCTTAAAATTTTGGAACTCAAGAAGCAAAACCTAGAAATCTTTCCCTTTTTATTTATTTATTTTTTTTATCAGCGAATTTTGTTGATTTGAATGGTCATACAGATTAAGAAGGAGCGTAAGAAGGTCCTTTCAGATCAAAAATATGTTATGAGGGCGGGGTTTGTCTCCTTCGACTGTCGCTGGGCGGCTGCGGTTTGCGCTCAAACCCAGCAAAGCAGAGACCGTACAAAGTGGATAACTGAATGGGCTCCAGAGCCTCGTGATGTCTACTGGAATAATTTAGCTATACGCTACATGTTGCTCAATTCTAGACGGCTGGTTGTTACTGCACTTGTGGTCGTTCTAGTCATATTTTTCTTAATTCCGGTTGGTGCTGTGCAAGTACTGGCGAATTTAGAGCAATTAATAAAATACATGCCATTTCTTGAACCTCTTTCCAGATGGTGAGTTTCTAAAACCCAAATCCTAATTATTTATGTATAGTCAAACTATGCCATTTCCTGGGTTGTTCCCACAATTGTACAACCTAAAAGCATGTTTCTTACATTACTTTGGATGCAATACTTCAGGAAATATGTGGAATCGTTCATCAGTGGCTTCTTGCCTGGAGCAATCCTTAAGATATTTCTTTTGATAATTCCGTATGTGCTAAGAGAGCTGACCAAGTTTGAAGGCCATGTCTCAAAATCAAAAATAGAGAAATACACGGGCGTCAAGTACTTCGTGTTTTTGGTGGTGAATGTGTTTTTTGGGAACGTCCTAATCGGTTCCCTATTTGACCAGCTTAGGCAATATATTGCTGCACCCACTTCGTGAGTCTCCAATTCACTTGATGTTGGTAGCTGTCCATGTAATTTGGAACTAATTGACTTTCAAGTGGCTTCAGGCTTGTCAAGCGGGTCTTTTATCCCTTATAGTTGTTCTTTGTTACTTATATCTCTTTGTGCATTAATCGGCAGGATTCCCAGGGCTTTCGGTGTCTCAATACCAAAGAAGGCTACCTTTTTCATGACCTTCATCATGATAGACGGGTGGACAAGTATTGCTGCTGAAGTGCTTCGCCTTTGGCCCCTGATATGGTATCATATTACGTCAGTTTTGTTCGTACGAACTGATAAGGAACGAGTGAAAGTTATCCCAGCTACACCTCCAGCCTATTTTATTGTTCTCCCTCGTTTGAGCCTCTACATTTTACTCGGTCTCGTCTACGCCGTCATCTCACCTCTTATACTGCCGTTCTTATGTGTCTTCTTCGCTTTTGGCTTCCTCATATATCGAAATCAGGTGAGTATATCACATCCTACTCCGATTGTTTTACAAAGTGGAGTGTTGTGTAAAGCAGCACCTGCTCGTCTTGGTAACTTAAAGCTCCAAAATTTTACAATCCTATAAGTGTAGCTATTAGATTTCCAATTGTGCCCTTGGGGGTTGAAATTGGATTGCGCATTACATTCAATATGTGAGGTAGCTGCATGGCTATTTTAATTAGAGATATCAATGTACTACTTGTGCTATAGCGTCCACTACGGCACTTGTTATTCACTATCACCATCAGGTTTGTCTGAACTAAGTACGTGGTTTTCTTACCTGTTCTTTTGCAGGTAATAAATGTGTATGAACCAGAATATGAGAGTGCCGCATCTTTTTGGCCGAGCTTTCACCGCAACGTAATTGTTGCTCTTATTCTCAAACATGTCACGCTCATTGGTTTATTCTCTGTGAAGCGAGCATTTGCATCTACACCTTTCTTACTTCCGCTTCCTATTGTCACGTACTTATTCCATTTGTTCTGCTCCGAAAAGTTTTATCATGCATTTGTAAATTATCCCCTACAGGTTGATCATCTTCCCCTCCTTAATTTTCTGTCCTTTATTTCCAAACATTGTGATATTAAATTCTAAGAAAGTGAGGAAAAATGTCGTTAGCTACACTCAAATCTAAAGTTTCGCTATTGCACAGCACAACGATGTTATTTATCATTATTCTTATGTTGTTGAGGCTTGTATATTACCTTAACAGGAGGCTAGGCTGAAAGACAAAAACGAGCTGGGGGTGGACGTCAAGTCATTTCTGGAAACAGCGTACTTGCATCCTTCCATCAAGTTGGCTCCCGTAGACAGCGATAGTGACGATGATCCAGACACAATAAAAAATGGTACTGCTCCAAATGGGAACCAATCGGGTCCTGATGAACCTTCAACTGTCAAAAATGCAACTTCGAATGAATCCTCCTACAAGGGACTCCGCGACAGTAGTCATCACTCTACTAATCCTCATGCAAGTGGACCATATGTTCATCGAGGGGGTAGTGGTTCATCTGGTTCTCGTAGACGGTGGTCTAAACAAATCAGCGCTGTTGGTTCTCCAGACTTTTACGATGCTGGTAGCTCCATTTCCAGTCCAGTCTTGTCAAGGGAAAACTCTATGGATACCTTCCGTAATGCCTCCGTGGCATCTTCTCACGATCCAAGTCAACGTGGAGGACATGTAGAAGCGACCGACTTGAGACAAGTTCACGTGAGCAGTCAAGAGCCTGCTCCATTGAACCATCAAAGCAGTTTCGAAACTACTGCAGTTCCTCCAACTACTTCAGAAGATAAGTCTGCGGAGACTCATTCCACAGAAGGTAAACGTGACAGAAGAGAACAAGGGAGTATTGACAGGCTTCCTTCACTAGGTGCATTGGATCAAGCGCCACTTGGCCATTCCGAACCATAGGGCTCAGATATATATTCCCTTTCAAGGGACTTTTTAAAAAAGAATTATTTTCATTTTTTTAATTAGGGTCGTTTTAGTAGTTCTTGGTCTTATCATAAGACTCCAGTTTCTTATTCTGGTGGAAACGAGTCATAGATCTCTGGCGACTCAATTGCGAGACATGCGTAGCCTATAAGTCAACATTTAATCCAACCATAGGGGAAGACCCCCCCACAACCTTGAACTTCATCCATGTAAAGCTGAAAGTGTACCATAGTGAGAATCAATTTCGAACATGTTGGGCTAAATCTAGAGCTCATGTGGTGGATTGCAATGAGCCTCTGATAATCAGAATCGAGTGACTTGAGTTAAGATGCACGTAGAAGCTTGTCTGCTCATTGTTTTGAACCTTGAAGAAGACTCATCAGAACTTTGAGTTTGAATAAGCTTGTGTCAAGATCTGCAACATGTTGAAAGATTGAATCTGATTGCTGACAATCATCGAATAATTGGGTCAGTCATAGCATTTAGAGGTAGCGAAAGCAAGGAGATCCTTCCACAATGTTTCAGAATGAAATGTAGTTGTTCATTCGTAATGTATTATATTTTCACACAGTTTTTTTCACATGTTTATCATTGTGTGCAAACTGAGATGAAGGTGAATCAAAGATAGTGTAATTTGTTCAAGTAAGCAAAACATAGTTATCTTTAGTCTTTATGTTTTCAGAATCTTGAATTTTGGTAGATTCTGTGTTCAAAGAAATGTTGCTAAAAGAATTATATCTAAATGTTGAATTCTCAATGGGTAAAAATCATGAGCGCACGTGGTGTTGATTTTGAGGTGCTCTTTTGATATCAAGTACTGGTATGAAAACAATTCAATTACCAACCAATCACATAATTTAAAAAAAAATGTATTATTGATAAAAAAATCATGATAATTTCATTAAAAACTAACATCAAAAAAATATTTTAAGGATACATATGAATTTAAAAATCATTTACACACACACAATAAATAAATAAATAAGTAATATATATATATATATATATATATATATATATATTATCCAAGTTTTTTAATGATTTACAACTGAAGTAAATGAAGGCATGATGAATTATTTTTCACTTGCACAAAAATAATTAATATAACAAAGTAAACATAAGTATGGTTATATATATATATATATGTATATATATACATGATTTTTTTCTCCTCAAACTTTCATAACCCCTGTGGCTTAAAATAAGTTGATCTACAATTTAAAATTTTTCTTTTTTCTTTTTATTATCTTTAATTTCTTCTGAAATATTTTATTTCAATATTTTAAAAAATAAAAGCAATGTCTTTTGTGATTAGTACTAGGGAATGTAATATGGTAATTGAAGATTACAATAACCATTTAAAGGAAATAAATGAAATGTATTACAGAAATTACAATAATGTAAATAAAATTCATACATAAAATCTTCAAAATTATTCTGCTATTTAAATGCTTGCCATGTTTTCATGTTTATTTTCTGATTTATTTTCTATTTATATCAACTTTGAAAACTGTGTTCATGTAAAATATTACTAAATTTAGTAATGGAAAAGAAAAAGAAGATCAAATTGTGACTCAAAAATATCAACTTGGAAAATTAGATGTGTAGTGATTTAGGAAAAAAAAAAAAAAATCAAATCAGAAGTAATTTAATTGAAATTTGCAGTTGAAACAAAGTAAAATGATTACTTTATCTTTTATTATGAGATCAGTTGTTGGCAATACTCAACCTACATCTCTTGTCAAATGATACCCTCACTTTGTACTACCTCCACAATACAATACAAGTCACTTTCAACTTATCTACAATGTTTGTTGAGTCAATTTGTAACCTCAATGTCAAAAGCCATGTTGAGTCATTATGATTTGCTCTACATCAACCATACTACCATATCACATCTTTTTTTACTTAGAATTAGGATAAAACTTGATTACGACTAGGTTAATTTATGTATATAAAATAGTCTTGTTATTAATGAAAAAGAATTTGAGTATAATTTACATGTTATGAGAGCAACATTAGGGCAGTCCTTTAGGTCTAATGAACCTTGCTCCCAAATTAAGAAGGACGAGAGAAAAAAAGAGTGATAGAAGAGATGGTAGAAGGAAGAAAGAAGTTCATGGATTATAAAGTAGGAGAGTTGAACAAACTAATTGGAGTTTAAAACTATTTTGTCTAAAAGTTTAAAATTTTTGTAATCTTGAAGAAAGAATTTGTAGAACATTGTAAAAACAAAAAGGTTAGTTTTATTTTTTCTTGCCACTATATTAAAAAAATCTTATACAAAAATATAAGTAGTAGAAAGAAAACAAAGAATTCTATCAAGTCTTAATATATTAATTATAGATAGTTTGATAGGCACAATATACCAACACAACAACCTTGTAGATTCTTAGGATATACTTGGAAGAATGTTTCATGGAAGAGACTAGCAATAAATTGTGTTATTAATCAAAAAATTGAATGGGATGATAAAAAACAAAAAGAGTGATATTAAAACTTATATGATAGAGGCAACAAACATGAAGAACCAATTGAAGGTGTATAGTGAAGAAATTATAAATAAAACCCTTATAAATATAGTCCTCAATAGATTACTACAAAGGTAAAAAATGGTGATTCAAAGAATTATCTACATGAAACAATCAATATTTGAAGACGTTGTAGATAAGCTTCTTATTAAATTCATTGCATGGCTATAAGAAAGCAAAAATTAGGACAAAAAAAGCTTTAGTAGTATAATTTCAATGAACAAATTTTAGAAAACGTGGACTTAATCAATTTATGTAAGGAAGAGGATGTTGAAGAGAAAGAAACTTAGCTTGAGGAATACCTCATCACTTTAAAGGACTAAGTCATCATATAAAAAATCAACAAGTTTAGAATAGACATGAAAGATCATCAAACTTTATAGCAGAATGATTACAACGTTGTCGTGTTATAACACGAGTATACCATGAAAATATAAAGAAAGGGGACTTTTATTAATGTTCAATTACCTCGAATATTGGGAGCAACGACCAATTCCAGTGCAAATACTGAGAGGCCAGGTTCAGTCATCCCGTTACAGTCAGTTGAGGCATATTGAAATGCTCCGTTCGATTCCAATAACGAGAATTAGCAGGAAGGGAAAGGACCAATTCAACGACGGGTGAGCCTGGTTCGAAGAGCCAATTGGATCCAATTTCAAGACATTCAATCCAAGTCTTAGTACGGGCCTCTTAGCCAATCTGATGCGAAGGACCAATTTGACCCAATTATGAGAACATTCAGGTCTTACTACGGGCCTCTTAGCCAATATGAGACTTGAATTGGTCGGGCGACTCAATGTGGTCCCGATTACGGGGCTCCGATTCCGTTTCAGGCTGTTCCGTCCTTTGTGTCATTCTGGGAACGTCCTTTCGGTAAAAGGATCTCTTAAAGGTAAAAACAAAGGAGAAAGCTCTAACAGTAGGAGCCAATTCCAGATCCAAGACGGAAGATTGAAGAAATTCAGAGGCTAGGGTTTGAGAGAGGAGAGAATTAGGGTTAAATGGGAGAATAGGTTAAGAAATGGAAGGAGAGAGAAGAAGTTTTTAGAGGGGTCGGAAAAAGCTTCATGCTTCGGGGTGGAAAAAAAAGATAGAGAATTGGGGTTTTTTTTCTTCATAGGATTTTGAGAAGACAGAGGCAATCATTGCTGAAGTCAATGGTGTACTGGTGAATCGGGGTTTTAATGAAGTGAGTGTGATTACTCTTGACTGTTTTGTGAAATCGAGTTACGTCTGTGATGAAGAATTAAAAGGATGTCTATAGGATTGAGTATGTGAAGTGAATGAAATTTATTGGGTTAATCTAACAAGACAGTCAGTGGATACAAGATCGTGAGTATAAAGCGGTATCGAAGATTAGCAGTTTGGATTATTCGGGGTTCTCTGTAACATCTAGAGACCTACCGGCTGGGGCAAAAAGGATTTCGGCGAGCAGTCGAAGGACATCCATATAGATTTACGATATATTCTTGCAGTTGTTTATATTCCAATAGTCAAAAATTGATAAACTGCTTGAATATTAGCGAATCTCCATACTACCTTCTACAGCCAGACGCCTGGCGCATTCTCGAGCAGGAAAGTACGTAATACGACACAAGTGGTGAACCCGACGTGAAAGCTTGAGGTGGAAGGTATTGGATTTCATTTGATTTTATTTTTATTTTTATGGAGAACAAAAATAAAAATTTTAAAGGATCTTTGGGAGGAGTTTCTGATGGGGGTTCTTCTAAAGGACAAGGTATGCACATAGATCCATCTATTGCTAGTATGTTTCAAGCCTTCTCATTATCAATGCAGCAACAACAAAGCAATGATCAAAAGGAAGCTTTGGCAACCAAAGCATTGCAAGCAGTGGTCAATAAAATTGATCAATTTGACGGAAGGAATATTTCAAGGTATTTAAGATATTATGTTTGTGAAATGGAATTAAATCGAGTTTTTGAGAAGAAAATGGTTGAATTATTTGGACTTGCCACGATACCGGAGATAAGAGACCACATTACATCGATTACGGATCGTTATGGGAATTCATAGGAGGTTTTTTCACATGCATTGAAAGACAAATATTTCTTGGAAGATGCTGATCGCATTACTAAGAAGCTGTTTCTGGAATGGATTGAACGGCCCAATAAGAATTTGTAAGCAACAGAGCTACTAAAGGAATTTGAGAGGCAGTACTCTCAATTATCAAAGGTAGAAAAATTGACATTGGAGCCGAACAAAGTTGATCTATTTCTTCAAGCTGCTGATGGAGAATTGCAAGGGAAATTAGAACTCCTTCTTGAAGACAAAGAAGAAGATGAAGGATTGACAACAAAGTGGAAGAACATTGAGGATGCGGTGGGGTTACTTACAAAAAGAGAAAGGAAGAAGGATAGGAGCAATATTCCGAAAACAATACAAGCACCCAAAGCTCCAGTACATACAATACCACCAACAATGCCTACAGTTCAACCTTCGACATCCTTATCAAGGAAAGCAGACATGGAGATGGAAGAAATTATACGAGGAATGCGAGATCTTCAAATCAAATTGGCAAGACTTGAAGAGAATACTTCTACAAACAATTCAAAGAATGTTTCGAAATAAGGATACGTACAAAGATGCATTTGGTGTGATGACGCTTCACACACTAAGAAAGATTGCAGTGAATTTAATAATATGATACGGCAAGGAATTATTTGCTGAAAAGATGGGAAGATAGCATTAAAAGATAGGGAGGATCTTCTTCAAACCAATTTTGGCAAAGGAGGAATGAGAGCATTGGCTCAAGATTACTTAAAAGAGCATGAAACAACAGCACGAGAAAGTGCAAGTTATGGTGCTAGAGTAGATGATGACCTTGGTGGAAGTACGAAACTAGTGAGTTT